TTCTCATTCTCAAGATCTATCCTTTCCAGCCTTTTCCTAATAAAATTTTGCAAAACATTTATTTTGTATGTTCTAACTGTGTGCTAGGGAGCCAGTACTGGATAATTTTCAGAATGAGATAAAGAACATCTGCACCTCTTTCCTCCTTTCCACCTCTTTCCTTGCTGCATCTTTCAAACAACCAAAGACCATATAAGGTGAAACATTCAGTGCCTCAACTCACATTTAATGTTTCCCCAATCCTGCAGTACTTATTAACTACATCTTTAATTTTCAGAATTCTGTGTGTCCAAGAATGTTATCTATCTCATATATACTATATTTATTTGACCCCTGAAAAGAAAAGAAATCCTTACAATTAGACCGATTAATAAATGGGGGAAACGCTGACAGTACCATGAATGCAATTTTTTGCATCCACCATCAACCAACGCCCATGTCAAGAATCAAATGATGTGTTATGTTGGGCAAATCCGTTGCAAAGAACTTCTTTAAAGTGCTAGGCCTTTTTAAAGTGCTAAAGAACAAGAGTGTCACAGTGAGGACTAAGGTGCATCTGATCCAAGTCATGGTATTTTCAACAATCTTATATGCTGGTGAAAGGAAGAGAGTGAATAAGGAAAACAGAGTATTGCTGATGCCTCTGAATTGTTTTCAAAATTGGTTCAAGAGAATAAATCATTGACTGTCAACAATCTGTCTTGGAAGAACAATAGACAATTCTCCTTAGAAGGGAGAATTAGTGAGACTTTATTTCACATATTTCAGACATGTTATCAGAAAGGATTAACTCCCTATATAAGGATATCATGCTTGGGAAAATAGAGGGTAAATGAAAAAGAAGACCCTCGATGAAATGGACCAGTATCAAACAAACAGCAGCAATTGTGAGGAAGAACACAGGACCAGAGTACTTGGTTCTGTTGTACAGAGGGCTACCGAGTCAGAGTTGACTCGATAGCACTTAACAGCCTGAATGAGGCAAGCGGTTTTACTCAGTCCTGTAAACCTATGAATCAGAATTAACTTGATAGCAATGAATTTCTTTCTGACACATAAAGAAGGCATATTTGAGGTCTTTGAAAGAAATGGGTATGAACAAAAAGTTCCCATCATAAACTCTCTCACTGAACAAGTATCCCCCCTCCCCTAACTTCCTATTCCCACTCTCCGTAGTACCTGATAACTATTACTCTTCTGCCTTGATGGATCTGCCTATTCTAGAAATTTTGAAAAATTTGGATCCACGGGTATCACTTGCTCTTCTGTATCTGACTGATGTCACTGAGCATATTTTCAAGATTATCAGAATCTTATTTCTGTTTATAATTGAACAATAAGTACAGCACTGACTATATACACCACACTTTGATGGTCCATTTAGCTGTTAATGGACACTTGGGTGGTTTCTACCTTTTGGCTCTTTTAAATAATGCTACAGTGAACACTGAAAAACATGTCTGTGAGTCTGTTTCAAGTTTTGTAAATGTATGACCTAGGAGGGAAACTACAGGGTCATATGGTAGTCCTACCTTTAGCTGTTTTAGGAACTACTGATTTGTTTTCCACAGTGATTGAAACATTTTATATTCCTTCCAGGAATGTACAAATGCTACAAAATTACTATTAGTTGCTGTCTCTCAGGTATTATAAGCTCTGTGATTGCAAAATCTGACATGGCCCTTGAATTCATGGTACTTGTTAAAAAGAGAGGTAGACAGGGCCCACGGGTGTTAATGTTCACCACTGTATCACGCAGCACATAGTGAGTATTCAGTAAATTCTTCTTGAACAAGTGAAAGTAAACAACCAAGTATGTTATCTATAAATTGTGAGAAGTGCACCAATGAAATAAAATATGATGCAATGATAAATAGGGTAAGGAAGGGCGGGGGTGGGGGAGGATTTCCAGGGAAAGTCTGTCTGAGGAGGTAATATTTATACTAAGAACTAGATGATGAGTAACAACGAACCATGCCGAGGCTGGAGGTAAGACTGTTCCGAGTGAAGGAACACCAAGGGTAAAGGCTGAGGTATAACTGAACACATTTCAGGAACAGAAAGGCAGACGAAGCTCGTCATATAATAAACAATAGCACCATATCGTAGGGCATTTGAATTTTCTTCTAAGTGAAATAAGAAGTCATGGAGGGAGATGAGAGAAAAATAACTTAAGAGTTTTAAGTAGGGGAGTTATATGATTTAAGACAAGTGCAGGATAAGACAAAACTGGCAATAAGGATACAGGTTACAGGAGTTCCCACTGTCCATAGGAAATGATGGTAGTTTGAACTAAGGTAGCTGCGGCTTTGGAGGTAGAACTGACAGACTTTTTCACACAATGGACGTGTGGGTTAAGAGAAAAAGAAAACTGAGGATGACTTCTAGGTCATCTTAAGCAACTGGGTGGGTGGAGGTGTCATTTTCTAAGATGAGGAAAAATGGGGGGGAGTAAAGTCTTAGAGAGTACCATTTATTTTCAGCACATTTTATTTTAAACACCTGCAACACATGTAAATGGCAAGAAGGCAGTTGAGTATTTGGATGTGGAACTTTCTAGTAGGAGAGATATAACAGTTTGTGATAAGAAAATTCCAAGTGGCACTATAAGACTTAAATGATCAAGGAGAAATGCCATGTCTGCCCCTATTAATCACAAGAAGCTTTAAGAAGTAAAAAACCAAAATTTTAAAGATGGCAGCAGTATTGGCTCATAGTTGATCCAAAGGATGATGTAGGAGAATATTCCAAGTGAAGAGAACTAACTGCATAGCCAAAGGTAGTGGAGGAATGTTGAGAACCCAGAGTTCCATTTGGATGGCAGGAGATGAATTTAGAGGATGGCTGAAGCCAGATCACAAAGGGTTTTGAGCACCATGTTAAGGATTTGTAGTGTGTATTGTAGGCAACAAGGACAGCCAGTTAAGTCTTTAAGTAGAAGTGTAGCCTGACAAAGTCTGTAAGAGTAACTTAGCAAGAGTGAGTAAGGTGGACTGAAGAAACAGGAACGGGAAGCAAAGGAAACCAGTTAAGAATCTATTTTAGCTATTAATATATGAGGTAATAAAGACTTAATAATTGATAGCAGAAATGCAAAGGTGCAAATTTAAGAGACATTTGAGAGCATAATTATTATGGAAAGCTAATAGAAAAGATAGATGGAAATCCCATTCCTTTCCCTCCTGAATGCCTTTTACCTCCACACTACACTGTAATTTCTGAAAAAGTTGGGGGATACTTTTCAAACTCCCTCCCTATAGTGGCATTTAACATCTGTTGAGAGAGACCTAGTGTTTGTATGACTTTACAACCAAAGGCACTCTAGTACTGTAATGGAAGGACTCAATCCAGGCCACAATTGCTGGGAGAGTCACTCTGGGTTTGGGGCCGTGGCCTAGAGAATCCAGTCAATGCTAGCACTAGTAAGATGAGCTAAATTTTCCTGCCCTTTTCCTTTTAAAAGCTGAATACTTTCTATCCTTTTTACTCTGCTCTCTTAACTCAGCCAAAACACAACATAGTGCCCCCAAGGTTTGGAATTTTTCCTCCACTAGACTTCCATCCATATGGTCTAGATCAGCACAAGCTCAAGTCCTCTGGAGTTCCATCACATGAACAATCATCACTGAGAATGTCTGAATATACTCCCTTCTCCCATGATCCTCATCTCCCTCTGGTCCCTTCTCTTGGCATTGTCACTGTTGGCATCTATATATGTTAATTGTTCAACGGTTTCTGAAGAGTACTTTGAACTCTTTGGAGAATTGTGTGCTATATAAATATAATAAAGCAATGAATAAATAGAATGAATACTTTTACCAGAGTATAAGTTTCACTATTTCTGGTAGAACAGGATTTACCCTTCACTCAGTACTAGCCTGAAGCGAAGATATGTGTATTATGAAGGACATCAGGCAGATATTTCTGTTTTGAAATACCTTTCCTACTATTTGAGATTCCACAACTTGGTGATATATATTGTAAAAATTTGAGCCACTTAAAGTTTGTTTCCCTAAAATGTCTTTAACATTAAAATGCCATTTGCGGGGGGGGGAGTGAGTGAGTGGGTAGGTGGGTCATGACTTAGCCTTAGCTCCCTTTACATGGGCCCATAGCTCCTGTCAGAAACGTTTTCCACATGCCATGTCTTCTCTGTGCCCTTGTCCATGTTTGCTTTTAGAGGTAATGTTAGATATAACATATATTATAAATGTAACATTACCTTCTCTTGTCACACCATCTACTATGTATCTAAATCCAAGCCTACTCATTCTTTTTAAAAACAATTTTATTTTTTTTCAATACAAGAATAATGAACAGGTTTATTATAGAAGATGTGAAAAAGTTAGAAAATAGGAAATAGAAAAAAATGCACCCCAAACATTAGCCATAGTGCTCGCACCTAAAGAACAACTGTGAGCAGTGTGGTCATGTTTAGTCTTTAAATCTTAGTTTAGGTAAGTGTTTCTGATGTGATTGATGCCTTCCTTGAACTTCTGTATCTAGCTCTTACATGTTATGTCTGTATCACTCACTTAAACGGATCACACACTTTGGTGTGTGCCTTGTGTTTCCAATTAGATGGTTAGATTTTTGAAGCCCAGAACTAAGAGTTTGTACTTTTTAGCTCATCCCCTAAATAGCGGGTCTTGTGGTCCCATTACTGGATGACTGATTAAACAGAAACGAACGTAAACCATTTGAGAAAGGCTAAGAAAATAGGCCCATATTTAAGTCCTATGAAAAGTAAAGCTTTCAGTTACCTAGCTTAGTGATTATTGCTTGTCTGTTCCTGGACTCTTGAGGGTCTATTTTTTTTTAACTGACTTCTTCCCTCATATCAAAATTAAGTAAGAAACAGCTTATGAGCCAGGGTTTAATAACAGATTCTCTATCATGCATTATTACAGGTGTTAGAGAGAGAGAAGATGGAGAAAGAAAACAGAGAGAGCAAGAAATTACGAAAGAGGGAGAACAGGAGTAGACTAAATAGTTGGTGCTCAATCCAGTATGTGATTTGCCTCCAGCACTGTGTACAGGATCTCATCCACTTGTTCTGAGCCATACGCGATCTCACGAAGCTCCAAGTGAGGGAGGACAGAAGTAAGGAGATAGCTGACGTGGATACGCAGCCTTGTAAGCTTTGCCAAAGCCCTGTATGATAAAGTGAGGGGGCAGGAGAAGAGATGACATTGAAGTCATTAGCCAATAGGTTAAAAAAAAAAAAAAAAGAAGCTCATTAAAACAGGCCTATATTTCTCAGCACTTATCTTTCCATTAGCTAAAAAGAAAGACAAAAGCACAATGCCACTAAGAACAGGGGGACTGGCTGCAGCTTTGTACAAAAGAATGCCTAAATCTTTGGTGGTCTATGAATTAAGTCTTCCTCCCTTATTTATAACAGTAACTAAGACTCTTAAAGGGGTGCTTCACATTAGCTGATAACTAAACCTAGGTCATTAACCTAAGTTTTCTCCCTTTCTTGTCCAGTGGGTGGCCTGAGCTTTCTGCAGCATTGCCAAATGTGCCTCTGTCTCCTTCAGTTTAGCTTTAAGCTCTTGCTTTTCCCCTTTGGTTTTTTCCAGCTCATCTTTTAAAAGCTGGAATTCAGCTTGACGATAGCCCATGTGTTTCTTGCTCCAATACAAGCCTTCTGACCCCTTGGTGCTGCAGGCCATCAATTCACGTTGGACTTTTTCGAATTCGGAAACCCAGTGATTTCTCTCCTGTTCTAGCTCCTCCACCTGCAGCCCAAGAAACAGAAATTTAATGACTCCACATACAATTGAAAGCTAAAAATAATATATTTGCCTCGTGATTTTATTTTACTCACTCTCTCTCTCTCTCTCTCTCTCTCTCTCTTTCTCTCTCTCTCTCACTCACTATCTGGTGGCGTGATGGTAAGGAGCTGCGCTGTCAATCCAAAGGTACACAGTTCATATCCACCATCTGCTCTGAGGGAGGAAAACAGGCAATCTCCTCCCATGTGATTAGTCCTTCTGAATCTAGCCACTAGAGGGTAAGCCATGAGTCAGCTCCAACTGAACTGTACGTAACAGCAACATACACACATGTGCCCACACATATGTACCTATAGCACATGGATTGCTGTTGTCGCTGTGTACTGCTGAATTGGAACGCACCCACTGCTGACCCTCCAGTGGGTTTTCAGAGGCAGTAAATCACAAAGAAGGCAATAGCCCATCTTTCTTCCATGGAATGGAAGAACTGGTAGATTCAAACCACATGCCTTTGGGTTGGCAGTACAGCTCCATATAACTAAGCCACTAGGGCTCGCTCTCTCTCTCTCTCCCCCTCCTACATTTATAGATTTCAATATTTCTTTCTGTCCAGTTGGAATCAAATCATAGCTGATCTTCCAGTGGGTTTTCGGAGGCTGTAAATCACATGGGAAATGATGCCCCTCTTTCTCCCAGTGGACCCAAACTATCAAAGAGGTTTAGCAGTGGGACTTCCTATGGAGTAAACCACCAGAGTTGCTTGTGCTTACACTCTACACACACACACACACACACACACACACACACACACAAAATTTTAGAAAGGAAGCCACCCATTAGTGTTTAGTCAACCTGAAACATAGAGCAAAATGATTCAATGACATAGTTTCTGTTTACAGGCCTGTGGTATAAAGACTTCGCTTATAATTGATTTCTTATTACTGGTGATAAAGTGTAAATCTAACCTTTTGCTGGAATATATTTCTTTCAGCCAAAGCACGCTGAAGTCTTTCTGTGGTTCTCTTCAGTTCTTCCGACTCATTCTGGTTGTTAAGCTTTGGCGTATCATATCCTCTACTCTTTGCAGAGCCTCTTCTTTTCTCCTTAGTGGTTGTGGCCGAGGCCACAGTAGAACTAGGCTCTGAATGCCAGCGTTCAGCCACTCTTTTTCTCTGGGCAAGCTGCTCTCTTTTAAAAGGAATCAGCTGAACCGCTCCTGAACTGCTAACACCTTCTGCAACACCAACGACTGCTACAAAAGGCCCCTTGCTCACATCTTTCCTTTTGCTTGTGCTACCTTTCTTGACTCCTTCTGCTACCAATTTTGGCATCTGATCTAATTCTTCAGAGAGCAGGGACCCCTGGCGTTGGCCTCGGGCTTCTAAATATCGACCCGAAACCTCCCTATTCTGACTGGTATGCTTGCTTGTTTCTGGGTATTCTGGGAAAAGGCGTGGTGGTTCGCTCCTCTCGTCACTGCACTCATCATGGCTGTCATCATCTTCCAGGTAGGAAACAGCTGCCTCTACCCTTCTGTAAGGCCCAGTCATAGAATAATCTGTAGGAGCCGCTGTCATTGACTTCTGGAGCTTTCTTCGTTTCTCAAAAGGCTCCTCACTTGAGGTCCATTTGTATTTACTGCAAATGGAAGAGGAAATAAAAATTTAAGCTGTCACAACATAGGCTAAATATAATCTTATTCTAAGGTACCCCTCCTCAAATTTCCCCCATTAAAACTGTCACAGTCAACAATGAATGACTGGAAATCCAAAGTCTCTGTAAATTTTCATTGAAATTAATTATAAACTAAAAAAGAAAAAGAAAACAAACCCCCCAAAACTGTCACAGTGTTATTCACAGATTATTTAGGTTAGAAATAAAACTTTACCCTGAAAAACTCAAACCCTTTCACTCAGGCAACTAGCAGAAATAGCAATGAGTGTTAAGAGAGAAATGAAGTTGAAAGGTAAAAAGGATCACTATCTGGATTATAGTAAGACCAGGTTGATCTTGGTAGGAAAGTGAAAAACAGACCTGAAACAGTGTGGCTTAGAAGTTTCCTTAATGCAAGGAAAGGAAGAAAAACAAACTAAAATACACATACAAAATCCCTTAACACATGAATGGGGCAGGGTGTGTGTAGACAGTCATATAAGGCCTAGCAGCATATGCGGAGCACAGTGCCAGCTTGTTAATTTTAAAGTTTCACAGTATCACTTTAGGTT